CCGACTTCCTAATTTTACTTTCTTTTATTTTACCCTTACCCTTTCAGACACTTACGTGGTATAACGACCCGACCTGACAAAAAAGCAGCAAGAAAACCAACTGTCAAAGATTTGGAACACTTCTAATACCCCAAATAGTCAATAAACAAATATACCTGTGCGACACCGTGACGATCCTTAAAAAGTGGCAATGAACCCTGATATAACTTACAAACTTTCCCAGCAGCTAAGCATTTTGCAGAAGCTAGTATATGCCCTCGACAACGCAGTAGACCTGAGGATTAAGGAACAAAAGCGAGAAGAAAAGGTCCGACGGGTCAAGCTACGTGGGTTCCAGGGAAAAGCCGGAGAAAGCCCACATGTGGGGTTAGACCGTTACAAAAAGGCCGCCGAATCTAATGGTTGGCCGGATAACAAGAAGCTAAGAGGGGTAAGCCACTACTTAGAAGCGGATGCCAAAAACTGGTATGAAAACAATCAGGACCGGTTTATTCATTGGAACAAGCATAAAGATAAAGGAAGCTTCATACCGACCTTCCTACAGCATTTCACGATGCTCGAGCAATGGTGTCGGTGGGAAGCAGAATTGCTCAAACTAAGGCAGAGAGAGGACGAAAAGGTAGTTAGCTATGCCTGTAAATTTCGGAAATTAATAAAAAAGGCTGACCTCGAATGGAAGTATCCTAAAAGATATGTGGTAGAGCTGTTCACGAACAACTTAAAGAAGAAAATAGTGTCTACGCTTGCTGTTAGGAACGCAACCAGTATCTACGAGATGATTAAAGCTGCATTAGGGGTGGAGAACACAAATTACAACGTACCCGTACCAAAAGAAGAGACAAACCTCGCCAGCACCGTTGGAAGAGGCTGCAGTGTCAAGAAAGTCTCCGACGCTCCCAGCAGACCTCGAATATGTATCCCAGACTCGACCGCACACCCGTCAGTACGGCTATCTAAGGGAAATTATGAAACAAGTGATGAAGAAGAAAGCAAGAAAGGAGGAAGCAACGGAGAAAGCGATAAAAAAGAATACAATAGTAAAGAAACCGGAAGTGAAGGTATAGCCCTATTAAACTGTACCATGGACAATACCATTGACGAGTCCGAAAAGCGAAGTGACGAAGGAAAAAGTCCTGACTCACATGATGAAGAAAAACCACCACGAGAATTAAAAAATAATAACGACAAAGACACTATAGGAACTTTGGATGAATACTCTATTACGCCAGCAGAATTAGTTGACGAAACCACAGAAGCCACTTACGATGAAGTCCTGATCAATGAGGAAGGAACTGATAACCCAACGGATAAACCTCGAGAACTTACCTACGATAAAACACCGCTTACACAAGAGAGTGCAAAATATCAGAACAACAATGAACGAATAAAAGAGGGCAAACCGGAAGAAATCGATAGGATAGCCACACAAGACCCAATTATAAAGCATCATCAATAGGGAACGAAGGATCAACCCGAAGGTATGCCACCACGCGACGTCGCGGAAGGAGATCAAATGAAGATATACGTCCTGAGCCGCAGAGGGAAGTTGTACCGGTGGGAGACCATGTGAATAAGGTTGAAAGAACTGCCACAGAAAACTTTGAAGCGAAAAAGGGTCAAGGGCTACCCTACGATGAGTTTATGGCTGCCCAAAATGACATGAAACAGGACGCCAGTAATAAAACATCGGAATACATGCTACAACACACCTTCAGAAAGGTGAAGAAGAATAAATTCGGAAACCCATATACTACCACGACGACATTTAACCCGACCAGCCCCAAAGTACAATTAGCCCCAACGGATTGTCGTAATCCAGGAGGATATAACGCCACACCTGACCTGGAATATGTTCAACCTCCGACAAAGCAAACCAACTTGGTAAATAGTTCCCGAATTGGAAAAAGGAGGTGACGAAAGATACGAAAGAAAGATCAAGAAACTGCAATAATGTACCCATGGAAGATCATGCCTATATCAATGTGTGCTTATAAGCAGAAGTCCAAACAACCTTATCAACATGTTTCATGCTGCATCGAAATTCGTCATGATCTAGTCCACTGGAGGACCCTGCGAAAAATTGGAAGAGAAGTAAGCATCCTTGCTACATTAATGGTACGAATTGCAATGATAGCTACGTCACATCATCGCCTGATAAAGTTAACCTGCTTACTACGTCATGGAGTAAGACACAAGTAAAAGGAGAAGACGACCGACAACCAACAACCGACTACCAACGACCTAGCAAATAAATAACCTACCGGCCATCACTAAACGAAACACGACGACAGACACACGCCTAGTAGAAATCTTAATGCGTGGGACGCATAAGATAGGCGTGGGGGAGTTGTGAGAGGGAGAATAAAAACAATAGTAATGCGATTAAGGTCACGTAACCGACAATCGACCCGGGATCGTGAGAAGAAAAGGAAGGTAAAAATAGATCTGAAACCGGCGCTTGTAACAAAATAATAATGATGTAATTAGTGTTAGATTAGATAATAGCGCCAGAAAGTAGTAGAAATTCCCTTACTTTTCGTTATGTTTCTAAATTGTTCTTAAACTTTCCTTGTAAAAAAGTATAAAATGTTAGCATTTATTCTTTAAAATAAAAGGGAAGCAGATAGTGGTGACAAAAGAAAATTAATAAAGAGAAATTACTTACCTCAGTTAAATCAAATGCCTCGCCAAGATCATCCACTCCCACAACATATAAATCAATACTAATCAATTTTTATTTTTAGAATAAAAATTTATCCACACTTTTTAAACCTGAATTGGTATATAGTATTAAATAACTTAATAATAATAAAGTTAAAAAATATTAATAAATAATTTAAATTCTTTATTAGAGAGAAAATATGTTAAAATTATTTTGTACCAAAGATTCTTTTATGGATTCAGAGTTAATAGAAAATGAATCATTTCAGATTGAATTTGATTAAAGTGATTCTGAAGATTATTGTTAGTGGGGAAATAGCTTCGGTAAGGCCTGGCGACGCGACATTCACGTAACGCGCCTAATCGGAGTAATGGAAATGCTTTACAAATAGACTCAAGACATAATAAAAAGCTTAGATAGTTTATTTTATAGTCTGATAGTTTATGAGTCATAGCGATAGTCTTGTAGCAGATAGTCATGGTAGTATAAATAGGAGTGACAAAAGCGCAAAAAGAACAAGAATAAGAATTCGAATAACTCTAACTCTAACTTAATTTAGTAATAATAAATTATCACTCTTGCAGAAGCGCGAAACAGTCGTGCAAGTGTTAATTAAAGATTACTAAAAGTGGTGGTGTGATAGACGCGCCTAAAAAGGAAATTGGTAATTAACCCCCCCTTCTAGAGTAACGTCACTGCGAGAGGATCGTTCTGGTAGTCACTAAAGAGAATAGCGACTCGAACAATCGACGAAGGGTGACTAAGGAAAGAAGAAGGTTAATTATAGGTTCAAGATTGATCAAGTCAAATCCACACCTCAAGTAGAGAAAAGAAGAATAACCTACCCTGACGTTACACGAGTTTGACCTGCCCCAAGCAATAGACTCGCCATCTCCACCCCAACACTATAGATGCACTTCATTTGATAATGCTTTTAATGACTTGCAACATCCTGAAATCGTTGAATAATCTAACAATACTTATCGAGATTTTATAAAACTAATTAATCAGCATCAACTATCTAATGCAGCTGGCAAGGCTATAATAAGTTTCTTTAATAATATTCCAACTTAAATATATCACCATTGCCATTATTAACAAAGATTGGAAAAGAGTTTTTAGATACTTCAGTAGGATTTTGATCGGTTTCGGTACTAATTTTTATGTAAAAATACCGAACTGAAAATTTCAATACTGTACCTATCAGTTTCGGTACTGTACCGATCAATATCGGTATTTACTGAAATTTATATTTATAATATATTAAATAAAATTGCAATTTTTATTTTATTATATTATTGAAA